GAAGCAACTTAATCGATCACTGTCATGATACAGTTAAGATGATTTAGGAAAGCTGACGGCTGATAACTTTATAATATCTACATTTTGTTTTTCTCACAATGTAAACGGAGAAAGATTTTTGAAGAAGAATTTGCCTCTCAATTATACACAGTGAGCAAGAAGATTTCTAATTTCCAGAGTCCCGTAGTACGCCTCTGCGCGTGTCGCCTGTCGCTTGAGCTTTCTTTTCATTTCGTCATTACACCCATACAACCTGACACGTTGAAGACGGCCGTCCATTCAACCTCTTATTCCGTAGGAAAGAAACACCGAAGTTCACGATCGACTTTCACCCGGTCGTGTTTCTGGTATGCGTACGACTCGCCCTCCATCCCCCCCCCTCTCTCTCTCTCTCTCTCTCTCTCTTTCTCCCCCTCTCTCCCTCCCCCCTCCCGTTGAATTTGCCTTGCTCATTGCAATTAAGTTAATAAAATTGGTCAACATTGCTTTTATCAGCGAGCTCAAGAATCGATCAAGGATTGAAACCGGTTTTTTCGCTAAATTTGACTGTTTGAGAATTTAGGTGGACGCCGCGGGATATGTATCCGAAAGTATATTCGCAGGTGTTACATGAATGTTCGCGAAACAAAAGTGAAATACGCTTGAGTAAAAGTGCGAAGTAAAAGTAAAAGCGGTCGTTTTGAAATGAGAGTCCGTAGCGACGGCATTTAAATAAAATTTCTGCAAAGTATCGGTTAACGTTGTCACATTCAAATGTTCAATCGTAGGGCGTATAGAAATTAGAAGAAAGTCCTCTATTACAAGATATTAGGCTTCTGATACAAGGTAGCAGGTTTTCAACGTAAAAATTTAATCGCAAATCTCTATTCACAGCGATTACACGGTCGAACAATGGATTTTCCACTTAAACAGATTTCACTCCGAGGGCAATACATTAACGATGAAGCCGATGATGCCTATTAGTTCAGCTTATTAATTTAGCAGAAAGTCTGCTATCTCATATTAGGAGCTTATATCATAATAGGGGACTTCCTGTACATATAAATGTCTATTCAATTCGCGTATTTCATTGTTCGCGACGTTCTTTCACGACGTTCTTTACCATTTGTCATTTATGCAAATACCTCAAGCATTGTAAATCTTAAGCAGAAGGCCTCTTTATTGGAGAAGCTTGATTTGATTAAAGGATATGAATAGAAGAAAAACTTCTTTTATCGGCCATACGATAATAAATACCGTTCGCAACATTTGAACTTTAGCGTATCGTCTTGTGCGAAACATCTGGGGCTCGATTCTTGAATTCATTCGAAGGAGAAACGTATACAAAAATTCGGCCCCGACAGGAAAATTGAAGGTCGATTGGTTAAAGGCCATGCGAGTAGCCAGTCTACCTTTCTGCAAGAGCACATATTTCGTATACGTTTCCCCTTCGAATGACTTCAAGAATCGAGCCCCTGATCTCGTCGGAGTCACGCGAGTTTCAATTAAACTCGAAATGAAAATTTAATGAAATTTTGAATTCGCTTTGACGCAACTGTTCTGGTCCCCGTTAAAGTCGGCGAGATCTTTCATCGTTCGTGATAAAAGATGAACATTTTAAGAAGTATGATGATATTTTTCAAGGAGTATGGCAAAAGAAGCGAATGTACGAAAACGAATGATAAACGTCGCGTTGGAAGTTTCATTGATATTGAATAACTTTAAATCAATACAGCAATTTCTAGTGCCACTATTATATAATTGCCGTCATTCTTTTACAAAATGAAATAATTTACGACGCGGAACGAACGTAATAGGCCTCGTGAAATTACGTTTCTCTCCTCGGTGCTATTATTCTGCAGCCGAGCATATATTTTTTTTTATGGCGGGAGCTCTCGCTTTTAACCGCGATACTACAATACATATGTATTAGAATGAGAAATCACGCTTGACTAATCGCATAAGTATTGAGCTGGGTTATATTACGTGCGAAAATGTATACCCTCCGCCGCAAACGCTTATACAATATTGGACTTGATCTGAAATTCATGGAAAGTGATTATTTTTTACGAAGTCCGTGGGGCCCGAGAGGAAAAAGACGAGTGTCGGCATTTCGTGGAAGAATTTCAGGTGTCCGAGGAAGAGAATGCGACGATTTAAATCCATGAAACACGACGGAAATGCCTCGTTATTCCTTTCATGAAACAATTTTTTTCCTAACTATGCGGCGATATATATTCGAGCGATCGTGGTCGCCTCGGTTATGCATTATTCAGGGAGGAGTAAACGTGGCCGATAAATCGCGAAAACAAAAGCCCGAGAAACGGACGGAAGGATCCGACCAGAGATTAACGATAATGGAGTGCAATGATTTTACCCATCCGGTTTTGTTCGGAAAAAGCATAGGTGGTCTAGTCTGGCGTCGCCTCGCGCGACAGGTGGCTGCGCGACACCTTTTGTCCGAACAAATCGCAATGGGGGGGGGGGGGAAGAGAAATTTCCTCGCGTCCCACGCAAACAAATCCTGCGTTAACGTTTCACGCGGTAACAAACATCGCCGTTCGTTTTACGCTAATCACGGATGACTCGGTGCAGCCTCGCATGCATGGTTACGGCTTAACCGACTTTGCATGCACTCCAGTACGTATCGGAAGGGGCTCTTGAAAACGCGACTCGGCAAACATCGCTTTCCGACGGAATGTACATACGCGCGTGTGTATTGTCGTTGACGAGAACCGCGAGGCTTGTTCAAACGTTACGTATGGGATAGGATCCGCTTCGTGGAATCGCCGTCCTTCGTCGGGAGGATATTTGCTTTTTCATTTCTCACGGAGATATTTGGAAGACTTACGGCATCTTCCTAACGGGCTGCTTCTCACCGCGCGGGGGTGTGTACGACGACACTGCTATTTCTTCACTGCGAAAACACAGCTCGGTAATGTTTGTTCTTTCCACGCCGAGCGAAGTGTGCTTTTTGGATAATAGCATATAAATATCCATATAGAAGCATCGATGGGTCGTTGCGTAACAATTACACAGCGAGACAATAAGAGACTTTCAGCAAAACTCGTTAAATCCCCCCCACCCCAAACAAAGTTAAATGGACATCGCGCAACCAATATGCCCGCGTCCGACATCTTCGCGAGTATCTCATGAGTATGTTTTTGTTGCTTTGCTGCAGCATCAAGGAGACAGAAATTTTTATTTCAAAACGGACGTCTCAAGGCTGAAAACAAGTCCGAGTGCATTCCAAAGTATGTATTTTCCCTCCAATGAATAAGGTTCTTCGTGCGTACGTACGTGCACACGCAAACGCTGCTGGATTTGGATGTTTTACCAAAGACAATGCGGAATACCACGCGATCGGAACCGCAAAGATCAAAGGGACCGACAGAGAGAGAGAGAGAGAGAGAGAGAGAGAGAGAGAGAGAGAGAGAGAGAGAGAGAGAGTGGACCTGCTATAGATAAAACCAGATATGATAAATTTGTAGACAAGTTTCATATGTGACGCATAATACACTTTTTGCATGGATAATTTTAAAAGGTGCGTCTCTTGTAACTGCACCTTCATAATCTCGAAGTTAAAATTTTCGTTAGGCGCAAGATTGCAAATTAAAATAGAAAATTCTCACATATTTGGAAATATAAAAAAATATCTTATGTTCCGGTTGTTTGCATATTTTTAATATGAAGAAAGTAATAAAAGACTTTTTGCTGTTGACAAATATAACCAGATACGATAAATTTGTAAACACGTCTTTTTAAATAATCTTTGCAAAAAGTGTATTATGCGTCGCATATTAGACGTGTTTACAAATTTATCGTATCTGGTTATATTCGTCAACAGCAAAAAGTCTTTTATTACTTTCTTCATATTTATCATACGGATATGTTAAATGATCGCACTAATACTCTGTTAATATTTTAACACAAAATACATGCAAATCTCAAAATGATTGGAAATAAATTTTGTGTAAAATTAACATATTTTTAATGACAAAATGAATTTACAAAAATGTTATTTTTACATTTTACAGATGTAAGTCAAAATAATAAGTCAAATGACTGCTCGAAATCCCTCTCATTTATGTTATACAGAATAAAATCAACATTTTATTCTGTAAACTTTGACAGATAAATCTTGTTACTAAAAAAATAGAACATATGTATTGTGTAAGATTAAAAAATAAGTACACATTGTGTTGTTTTAACATTTCTTTTCAAGTACCTTAATAAATTTACATTTGAGGCCAATTAACACAAGAGCAATATGTTAAATTAACACATGAATGTGGGAAACGTTTAACACAAAAATTTTAACCGGCACTGTCTTTAACAAGAAAACACAAATTTTCCAACTGTGTGCAAATTAAAATAAAAAATTCTCGCACATTCGGAAATATAAAAAATATCTTATTTTCCTGTAACAATACATGCATATTTTTAATATGAAACAAGTAGTAAAGGGCTTTTAACTGTTATAACCGATGAATACGCAGCTTATTATTTTAATTTTTAATCTCGCGTACAATATTTTATTTTCGGAACAAATACTTTGAGAAAGAAAAATTAACGTGTCTTTTTAATCTCTTCCTTGGAATCGTGACCGTGTGTGTTTGGTAAAGAACGAATCGCTGCATCCATCTTTTGCGATATCGTCTAACAAATATTTTGTCCTTGGGGCAAATATTTTGACTAAAAAAATAAAGGCTGAAAATTCTCCACCTGAAAATACGTGGTTTTCCACGTTAATGAAATCGCAATTGCGATCTCCGTCCATCACGTATCATCTGTCACATGGACGATGTTGACATTCGCAAATTCGCCTCGTCCACGTACAGGAGATAATGAGCGTGGCGAGACGCGACGGAAATCGGCTAATCGAAACGAGACGGCTCACGGAAAAGGAAGCGTCACTTTTAAATTCGACGCGACGGCTCGTAACGCGCTAAACCGCGAATACGAATTGGATATAAAGTGAATCGTGCCGATAGAAAGAGACGTGGGCTCTTTCCTTGCAGGTGCAGACCCATAGAAGAGATGGTGGAGGTGCTTTTGGATCGAATCGACGGCCAGGAGGTGACCGTCGTCGAGTCAGACTGTATACCAGAATCACCGGCGGAGAATTCACCGGTCAACGAGAAGCTCTCGCCGATCCAAGAGTTTTATAATGGCCAGAGTATTTTTATCACCGGCGGCACTGGTTTCATGGGCAAGTTGCTTATCGAAAAGCTCCTCAGGACGTGCCCCGGAGTTACGTCGATCTACCTGCTGGTACGTCCGAAAAAGGGCAAGGACGTGCACCAACGCACCGAAGAGATCTTCGACGATGCGGTGAGTCTTTAGAAACGAGTGGCTCTGGCCCTTGAAATATTTGGACAATTTATTGATAATTTCACTTGAAATTGTCTAAGGGTCGGTTCTTACAATCTCTTGGCAAGTTAACTAATAGTTAAAGCATATATACGTCATTGTGTTTCCTTTAAATCAGACAAAGATAGATATATAATTTAACTATTAGTTAGCTTACCAAGCGGTTGGAAAAACCGGCCCTAAGTTTTGCCTTGACAAGCGGATTAATAATTTCTATGATTCCAACCCGATAATCGAAATATAATAGCTGGAGGTAACAGATCATACACTTCCATTGTCCGCTTCACGCATGCTACTTGAATTTTGACGTACAATACGTGCGTCATCAATAGACACCAAATACTTTGGCGTCGGCGTTTCATTTACCTTCTCGAGGAGCATCTCTCAGTAACTAACTGTTTTATTTAATTTAATTAATTATCTCTGTGGATCTTCGTTCCTTTACTTATTCTTTCTTTAATTTCTTTATTATTATGTTAAATTTATATTAACGAGATAGTAAAGAATAGATTTCTTAATTTAATTATGGATAAACTTATTATTCCAATTTGCGCAGGTATTTACAAAGCTTCGAGATGAACAGCCCAAGTTTCGACATCAGATAGTCGCTATAGCAGGAGACTGCAGTCAACCGAATCTCGGAATATCCTCGCAAGATCGGGCCACTCTCATCCGGGAAGTGTCGATCGTTTTCCACGTCGCGGCTACGGTCAGATTCGACGAGAAGCTGAAGCTAGCAGTGCCCATTAACGTCAGAAGTACAAGGGACGTTATAAATCTCTGCAAGGAGCTCACGAACCTGAAGGTATTATGAGGTCCATATGTTCGTGAAAAAAAAGCCACGTACAGAAAATATTTTACACTCCATCATTTATCGTGTTCTTGCAACAGTAGTTTGACGTCTTGCGAGTGTAGCTTGGCATCACATATAATGCACAATGATAATACAATCATCAAATATTACGACCTATAATTGCGGCATTCTTGAGTACGCGATGTTATCGACCCGAAAAAAATCGTACAAATTCGATGAGTTTTTGATGAGTCAACTTAACCGACATTATCTTATGCAATTCTTTGTAGTCTTTTATACATGTGTCTACTGCATATGCAAATTGTCCACAAAGTTTAATCGAGGAGAAGTTTTATGACCCGCCAATGGACTCTGACAAATTAATTGCGTTGATCGAGTGCATAGAAGATAAGCTGGCTGAAGATATAACTCCGCAGTACGTAAAATCCTTTTTCGCTTCAGTTCTTTTAGTTCACGATAGATGGAACGCAGAAAAAGAAGATTTTATTGTTTACTCTTTACAGATTATTAGGAAAATGGCCCAATACTTATACCTTCACGAAAGCAGTTGCCGAGAACGTGATCAGAAAGCAAGCCGGCGACTTGCCAGTTGGCATTTTTCGTCCTGCCATTGGTATAACATTATCACATTTATTCATAATAATAATTTAAAATTTGACAAGACAATTTAAAGAAGACAAGAAATAAACATTATTATATTGGTATTATAGTATTTTATTAAGCAAAGTATAAGTCAAGTTTTAATAAGAGCTTTTAAGAAATTCTGACAAATCTCTTTATACAATAGAAAGAAAAACACTTTAAGGAATAATTAAATGATTATAACACAGACAATTATAATAGTATGATTTGTAATTATAAGTTCAATAATTAATTTCAATTATAATAATAGTAACGCATGTGCAATTAGTATAGTAAATTTAACTGAAAACTGCAGGTTTCGTAATGAATTTCTTATTTGATTTTTAGTGATTTCAACCTATAAGGAACCAATGCGGGGCTGGATCGACAATCTGTACGGTCCGACAGGAGTTGCAGCCGGCGCAGGAACTGGATTGCTGCGATCCATCCATTGCGACGGCTCAGTACATGCAAACGTGGTACCTGCCGACTTAACAGTTAACGCTCTAATCGCAAGTGCATGGGACGTAACAAATGAACAAAGGTGCTCACCATTTATCTTCTTCTGGCATCGAGTGTAATTTGATATCGCATAGTGCAGATAATGACGACACATGACACTATCGACCTGAAAACATTCACACAAGTTTACCATACAGTTTTCTACACTGTAAGCCTCTCTATAAATTCACACACAAATTTATTTTAAAGCCCTCGGATAATGTCCAGTTCACTATATTTTATAGGATAAAAGTATATTTAAAATGTGATCTGTTTAACGCTGCAAAAAAGCAGGGAGAAGCGACTTCTTCGGTCAAGCTGAATCTTGACATCCTAATAATAATGTTTTTGTTTACAAGTTTAGATTTTTTCAACTCAACCAACTGTGCGTAAATTATTTATCTTAAAATACAGTTTTTTGTTTGAACAGTGGTCCACATATTTTAAATTAATTGATCAAGTTAATTTATGATGCTAATAATTTTTTAATTACTATAAAGAATTTGCGAGATACTTAAAAGAAAGAAACTTGAATTTGAATACAACTTAAAGACTTCTAAATATTTACATGTTGTATATGTGCGTTTATTTCCATGAGCAAGCAAGTATAAACAAAATGTATCTTTTCAGATCGAACAACAAATCGCATAGCGATATTCCAATTTATAATTACGTGTCTACGGATAATCCGATAACTTATGATGAACTGAAGGAAATGTCATCGGCTTATGGTCTTGACATTCCCTCCACCAGGGCCGTTTGGTACTATAGCTTCAGAAACAATAAGCACAGGCTAGTCCATCTCTTTTTCGTATATTTCTGGCACTTGCTTCCAGCTTTACTGGTTGACACCGCGACCGTCTGCATAGGAAGACAACCGAGGTAATAATAAAAGAATTAACATAAAAATCAGAGAGAAAGAGAGAAGATAAATTTTCTGCGTATCAAAAAAGTAATTTTTTTAAAGAGAAAAGTTATGCAAATTAATAACATTATTAAAAAACAAATTTATTAATATATGATGTCCAATGTAACATCTAAAATATGTGACGAAATAGTCGTTTAAAATAAATAATTTAAGTACACAACTTGAAATAACTTTGAGAGATTCAGAATAATCGTAAACGACCAAATTGTTTTCCGCTTTTTTTTATTTAATATTTGTGCGGATCGCTATTTAATATAAATTGTTTATTGAAGGTTACTTAAGGTTTACAAGAAGATACACAAATTTATGGATGTGTTGAACTACTTTGCCACGCAAGAATGGAAGTTTACTAATGACCGACTACATGCGCTGATGGCAAAGCTCACGTTCAAAGATCGTGAAAAGTTTTACTGCGACATACGTGATGTCGAATGGAATTCTTACTTCGAAACATATATTAGTGGAATAAGGGTATATCTCATTAAGGATCCCTTAGATACCTTGCCGCAGGCACGCGTCAAATGGCAAAGGTAAGGAACTTTCTAATCTTCGGAAAATAGTTTTAGTTCTATAAAATCGTACACCTCTTAAACTGTTCCTTGTCTTCGAACAAAATTTATAATAGTTTAGAAGTTATTAGTTAAAATATTTACAATAACTTAGGGTCTTCGATGTATTATATTTCATAAGAGTACAATTTTCTATAGGTACTAGAAAAAGGAGAAAGGAAGTGAGAGAAATAAAGGTTTTTTTTAATTATAAAACGACACGTGAAATAATAACGTTCTTGTTACAGTTTGTACTGCATTAAGATGTTCTTTTAAATTATTTCTTATCTTAAAAGAAAACTTAAAATTGTTTAAAATTTTTATCATGATGCATTTTTGCGACGAATGAGGGTCTCCGACGCATTATGTTTCATAAGAGTACAATTTTCTGACACAGTATAGATATTAGAAAAAATACAGTAACATTTTAAGCCTCGTAAGTATAATATCTTATGAGAGACTGCAAATATTATTGTATATGTGTACAAGCAACGAAAGTAATTTTATACACGTATATTAGATTCGTGTTAAAACTATCGTACATCTATTATATAATTTTATTGTTGTTTATTTACGAAAACAATAAAATAAAAAACAACTTGTATTGCAGATTATACTGGAGCCATCAAGCGCTGAAACTCATACTGGCCTACATCGCCATGAGGCTCTCCTGGACAGCTATATCTACTATGCTCGATCTTTTTTATTCGACAGTATGATAGGAGTAATAGGTGTTGATGAAGCCCGAAATCCAAGATGAATTTAGAATTTAGAATTCATCCAAGATGAATGCGTCTTGAAGATTACGGGGGCTGAACGGTGGAGGGCGATATCTTGTGTTTATAAGAAAGAAGCGCGACGGGACTCTTACAATTAGAGAAACCTGATACTTTCGTCAAAAATGTACGGAAGAATCAGCGGAGAGTCATGCCGTAATCCTGTGTGTACACAATGGGCTATCACGAAACGGAAATATAATGCATGAGCAACACGAAATGTGATAAGGGTACCTAGATGAGAAACGATTCGTCGAATCGACATCGACACTGTCGAACTCGACGTTGATTCGACATGAATTTGACACCGATTGACGAGTCATTTCTCGCTGGGTAGAGTAGAATAGCAGCAATTCGATCGTATTCTCTGACTTCGACGATCTTCGCGCAGATAAGTTGTACGTAAGGATCATGCGTTACCTTGCGTACAAAGCAGATTTTCTAGATGTTATCTGAAAGAAGAGAGTTAAAAATTTCGACCTTGTTTCGTGCAAACATGTCAGTTAATTAATTTTCGACATTAACTGTAAGACACGGCGATACAGAATTATACGTAAGTACACTGAAAAAAAAATTCGCTACCGTGGCTAATCATGGTTTGCTAAAAATATTTTGTTGCCGTAGCTATAGATTTCTAAACCGCGGCAAACTGTTTGCTACTGCACCTAATACAATAGGCACAGTAACCAAATATTTAGCTATCACAGCTAAACATTAGCTATTCATATTTTACAACGGAAGTTTAGTTGCCACGTACAGTTTTCAGCTACGGCAGCTACATTTTTCTTGCCGTATAGAATGCTTCAAATTCAACAAATGTGCAATGTGTAAATAAAAAAATGAGCATAATATAGATACCGTTCTGGTTCGTGGGAGCGTCGCCTCAAGTCATGGACCATGCTTGAGTCTAATTCGTTATTCTGGCCGAATGAGTTAACAACTACGTTGTACGTGGTTAATATTTTAAATAAGCTTGTCGTAAGTTCGAGAGAGTTCGTTACTTCCTATCGTAGTGAGGATTGAGTAGTATTTGAAAGTATCAACGTTTTAAAGTAACGACAATTCGTACGTTAATAGAGAAAGGATATGCTATTCCTGTGTAGAAAAAGTGGGTACTTTTCTCAAGCATCCTCTATCCTGATAAACTGGTAAATATTGTACGTAACGTGTTACAAATAAAAATTACAGTTAACAGAAATGTTGCAACAAAGGCATTGAAATCTCAAGGGCGTAAATATTTTATCGAGAACGCTTAAACCTCGTGAACGAAATAAATCGTTGAAGTTTTACTTATAATAAGCCGAATTGCTTATTTAAGCTTAATCGTTCCGAACGTTTAAGCATTGAATTGCCCCTGACTTTGCACCAAGTTTCGATTTCGACAGAATAACGATTGAAGTAGAAACAACTGCTTTATTTTCCGCGACGGCCAGAAAGATTATTGCTACAGAAACGAAAGTGAGTCGAAGTCGGTGCGCGAGCTTACGGCTTTGCGCAATCCGATGAAGCCTACGAGCATTTTCGCGCACCTGTCGTTCTACTCATTTTACGAATCAGCATTTCGTCGCGCGCGAAACGTTCGTCGCGACGAATACGGAGAGAGAAGTGGCAGATGCGCATTGTTTCGTAAGATTAAAAACGAAAGAACGTACTTGATAACTTATGCTTGATAATCGTACTTTGTTTTTACTAGGGTTGAGAAGTAACTCGTTACTTGTAACGAAGTTACAGTTACAGTTACTTTTTTTTGGTAACTCTAACTTAACTTCGTTACTTTCCACCTGTAACTGTAATTTAACTCGGTTACTTTATATATATTTTAAACCTCCACAGATCGCATTAGGCCTTGCAGTTGCGCATAAACGCCTTTATTCGACATTCTACAATTCTGATGCAGACTTGATATTTTTATTTTCATTGCAAGGTAACTGCAAAGTAACGATTCGTTACTTTTTGAGTAACTGTAACTAGATACTTTTGTAAAGTAACTTTCCCAACCCTGATTTTTACTGTTAGGTATATTTTATAGACACGCGCGTGAGCTACGATGCGAACCAAAGGGCTCTCAGACAGCTGAGAGAAAGTGTTTATTTTGTTGACAGTTACGACGTAGATACCACGTACAATACGTGCGCGATGATGCGTGCCCGTGTCCATATGGTAATGCGCGGGTATGTACATGGCGATGCATACTGACGAAAATTTTAAGTGAGAGATGACGTTTATATTTATGTATGGAGAGTTTTATTGACGGTTACACCGTTTGGAAGTACGTTGCAAACACCTGGTTAATTCTTTACTGACCATAACATTTTACAAACACTTAGAAAACTCTAATGGAAACGTTTGACATTTGCATCATTGCATCATTAAACGCAATTTGAAACACTTGGAACCATGAACATGTCATAAACAACTCCATGTTTAAATTTATATCTCACAGACAATTCAAAATAAATGTTTTAAAACTCAAATGAAACACTGACTCAACATTTAAACGAACTTCTTGCAAACTTTTAATATATTATTTTCGCCAGGATAATGAATGGATCGAGGTGCAATTATGCTATTTAAGTAACTCGTTGCGAACGAATGCAAATCGTTCACGCATGTTAGATTTCGAAGTGTGTCGCTCGACGATTGTGTCGGCTTATCCGAACAGTGTACGCCCGACAGAGTTCTGTCGATAATTAACGAGCGACGCTTATAATTCGATAAACGAATCGAACGTTCGATTCTGTCGGAGAATCGTAATAAAGTTATACCCCGCGCTCTTGCGTTTCCAACATCATCGAGTTAAAGAACATAATTAGTTATTGTTTATTAGTAATGTTAGCTTTCTATGTTCTCATTTTAATTTTACGTAAAAATCATTAAGGTTATCAGATTGTAAAAGAAATCAGAGTAAAAAAAAATCGCTTGGCCCATGAGGGGATCGAACCCGCGACCTTCGCGTTATTAGCACGACGCTCTAACCAACTGAGCTAATGGGCCAGACGTTAGAATTCTTGCAATCATTTCTCTTGATAAGTTATGGTCGGGTGTAAAAAATAAAGATAAGATAAACATCGCGAATAAATTAAGCGATTGTGTTCGTCGGTTTGTTTATTCAATAATTGCGGTAAAGTAATCGTTCTCCGTATTTTTTTTTGTTCAAATTTGTTCACGCCTGCTTCTAGGCAACGCGCATAATAATTCAGTTGAGCTGAAGTTTGAACGGGATACAATCGGTGGGCACGTGACGAGAGATCGGACAGACGCGTATAGCGAGTATGCGAGGGACCTGGAAGTATCCTACGGTCGTTATTGTTGCAAAATATCTTATATAAGTTCACGTAAGATTTTGTAAAATAAAAGTATTTATATATTGTACACAGATATACATATGTATAAAAATATACGAGCGTTTCCCGTGCGCCTCCTGGTTTCTATTCTTCTCCGATATTCTCGAGCGACAATTTCGTGTAAACGCCTTTTATCATCTAATGGCCGCAGGCAAATCTTTAAGGCCCGGTTTTACCAACGTTTAACTTTAAGCGTAGCTTAATCCGTTCTATTTCCAACTGTTACTTTAGAAAGAGACGAACATGAATTAAACCGAGATTAAAGTTAAGCGACGTTTGGTGAACCGGGCCTAAGGACCAGTTTCACAAATCGACTCCCTATCTTTTTTCATCTTATTATTTAAGAAGAGTCAGCGGATCAATTAACCTTTGGTTAGCAGTTAACCGACGTTTGTGAAACTTGCCCTAAGTCGATTAAAAGGCCGACTTGCAACGATGGAAATGCGCTGACACGACCGATTGTTTCTGATTGTCAATGGATTGCGACGTCGCGGCGACGTCATTTGGCTCGTCTCAGGCAGTACCGGCCTTAGGGCGGGGCGCGGTTGGGCGGTCGCCCAGGGCGCCAAGTCTGTAGTGGCGCCGCTGCCTGGTTTCACCTAGTTTGAGAGAGATTCCCTAAAATATAAAAACAAAATGGAGTTCGTCGTTCGATATTATTACCCTGTCTTTTCTTTCGCAAGAATTTCGAGCCCCTGAATTTGAATGGGCGCCACGATAATCTTGCTCAGGGCGCCAATGTTGTTAAAACCGGCACTGGTCTCAGGCATTTAAATGCAGATTTAATACATCGCGCCCTGACGAAACAGAAGTTAACAGAACACATAAATGCACACGGGCAATAAAGAAATGACAAAGAATTGCAAAACCTACGCAAAAGGTAATTAACAAATTTATTATCGTACACCCGTTCCATGTGCTACGTGTACATTTACAACGGTGAGATAGAATTTTTATATGCCGTGAATGTGATTACGTATATTCGTGAATTGTTGGAACGATGCGATCTCTCGAGAAAGACTAGTTGCTCTTCTCCGCGCGCGTTCAAGATTTTTCGAATGCGTTCGAGTATCGAATGCGCCGCTTGAAGTTGCCGCCCGCGGGACGTCGCTTCTGCTAGCGCGATAACTTCAGGGCGAAGTTGCTAGATCCCCGTGGTTGCAAAAACATCGCCCGGAGTACGTCGGCCCTTCCACCGCTCCGGTCAGACGGTCACTGCTTTTTCGCGAGTAAGAATTCTGCAGGTGCGGAAAACGTAAAGAATGGGATTCGGCGGCACGTTGTACAATCTCGTCCTCAGACGCACGTCCACGTTCACGATCGCCGTCTTAGCCTCCGCCTTCGTGTTCGAGAGGGCATTCGACATGGCCTCCGAGAAGATTTTCGACAATATTAACAAAGGGGTGAGTGTCCGGCCGCGCTTTCGCCCTCGTCCTTTACGTTTTATTCGACATCGCGTACTCGCACGATGCCCCGAGTGTCGGTTTCTCCGATTGAGGTTAATGTTCTGAAATGAGGTTATGTCACGTTATGTCACGAAAAGTTATTTCACACGCTAACGATATTTTGTAAAAAGAACAGAACAGAACATTGAAACTCGCGTCGTATATTTTAATTTGCGAATTAACGGCATGGCGCGAGAAGCGGCGCATCTTAATTTATGTTCTGACACTTGAAGGAGACACGAGGCATTGATTGCATAACAGATATCCGCTTTTTCTTTCAGAAACAATGGAAGGATATCAAGCACAAGTACGAGAATTGAATGGGGTACATTAGGGACAATATGAATTAGATCTACAGATATATGTTCTACGTCTGGATGTGTAAATAAATAACAAATTAGGTGAATTGACGTTAGTGAATTTATTCAGTTTCTGCGGTAGGTTTTCATCTCGTGTCGCAATATATGTGTATATATATATATATATATATATATATATATAGGGTTGGAAAAGTTACTTTATAAAAGTATCTAGTTACAGTTACAGTTTCTTCGCTAAAAATGTAACTCGTTACAGTACAAGTTACCAATTCTGAAAAGTAACGCGTTACAGTTACTCAAAAAATAACGAATCGTTACTTTGCGGTGACTTTCTTGCAATGAAGATAAAAACAATCAAATCTGCATTTGAATTGTAAAGTGTCGACGAAGGCGTTTATGCGCAAATGCAAGGCCTAGTGCGATCTGTGGAGGTTTAAAAATATATAAAGTAAGCTCTTAAATGTAACTATTAAATTAGTTATCGAAAAGATGTAACTGAGTTAAGTTACAGTTACAGGTGGAGGGAAAGTAATCGATAGATCTATTTTATGTTTATTTCAATTCATTCTTTATTTGTATATAAAAGAGTAAATAATCATTCCGTAGTTGTAACAGGATCATTATTTTTGTCATAGAAAGCAGTACTGTTGCATGACAGTCTTTCATGTCTTAAGTATAAAAACGCTCGTAGATGAGTATTGGACTTATTTCTGATCGGATCTTGGATTGCGCGCATAGGGACCCATAAAACGACCAGCGAAGAGAGTCTCGCTCGTTACTAGATCAACGATGGCAAAAATAAACGGCCTGTTTGCTACGAAAGTTGGCGCCATGTTAGCCATGAGAGGTACGACTGCGAGTTCTGCAATTTAAGCAACGAGCATTAGCACAGCGATCTACAAACATTGATACACTGAATTGTATTGCATTACGGTGATAATCACCTGTCACCGCGGCAGCGACGGTTCCCTCTTCGTCGACCTCTATTTTAGCATTTTGAATTATATTTCCTAGTCGCAAGAATTCATTGGACACGATTCCAGTGAAATTCGCTGCCGGGCTGAAAATGTCCTGCACGCCCATCTGAAATAGAAGTTTCCTCATTTAATTTACTTCTTTTCCAATGATACATAGTGGACGTTAATGTATCTATAATAATATAATCGTCTATTAAAAAATAACGGTGTACTTAGCGTTAGGTGTTAGGTTTCAGTTGGTATGATAATGACAGTAATTATAATTTTATACTACAATTTTAACTTAGGTCCTTAAGATATACAATCAATTAGAAAATGAAGAGGCCGTTTAGGACCGGGCATAGGTGTAAGTAGCCAATTAAATTAATAAGTGAATCCATATACCGTATTCTTTCCAATGTAACTGGCGCGCAGGATAAGTTGGAAAGAATACGGTATATGGATTCACTTATTAATTTAATTGGCTACTTACACCTATGCTCGGTCCTAAACGGCCTCTTCATTTTCTAATTGATTATAATTTTATCATGGGAAAACTAAAAACTGTTTATGTTAATAATTATGCTATTAAATAGCGACTTATACTCAACGCGATTAAACGTCAGTTAATACGTTAATACTTACGCGCGTCAAGGGTGGACGCAAATCTAATTTGCTCTCGATGCTAAATCGCGGAATAGAAAGCACCATTTCGGTTTCGTTGAGACTAGTGAGCAGCGTTTTCATCGGTACGTACGAGAGATCCTTGGATAAAATCTGAAGATCCGGGTCGCTCTCCTCGTGCGCTGGAAGGAATACCAGCATAGACGTCCTGCCATTCTGAAATATCAATTTTATGAACCAACTTTACATAACACACACTTGAAATATATTCACTGTTTTTACTCAAAGAGAATTAAAAAATCCCCTTTATAATAAATTAAGATAAAAATGTGTGATAAATTTCATGCTTTATATTTTCCATATTATATGAAAAATGTACTCTCGAGTCATGTTTTTAGAGGCAAAAGTAATATTACTTTAGCAATTAAACATATATATATATATATATATATATATGAGATAACGTTGAATAAGTTCTTCGTAAAAGCGTCAAAGCGTTCGCGCTAGCTTGATTATGTAAGGATCAAATCTTACCGAGTACGGGATTTCCACGACATCAGCGTCAAGAGAAGGTATATAGCCATATCGATACTTAGAAGTGTTCTCCATCATAGGAATATCCTGACAGCCGCTGTGGGGAACACGGAAGCACCGTACACGCGTGGCGTCCCTGTTGAAGGATTTCAGCCATCGTCCCTTGAAGTACAAGGCCGAAGTTAACAGCATCTGAGTATCGGTGCCAAGAGTGCCTGGAACAATGACAAAGTGCCTTTTTGTTTTAACTTGGAAGACCATGCAGTGACTTTGAAGCTGGAGAAGACATTTCTCCAGTGCGTCTCCAGAAATCTAAAAATTACGTATTGAAGGGGGGAGGGAAAGCATCTTTTGCTAGTCTCAATAGAACTTAAGTGAAATACCAGGCTGAATGATCGAGTTGATGTTATTCCGCGTGTTCTCGCGAACCCAGGAATTGATGATGGCGGCCGCGTCGGTTGGATTATTGAAATTCAGCTGTCTGATATCGGTTCCGTAATAATTACGCAAGGCGGTCATATAGTTAGCAGATGCCGCAAGAGTCGGATTGATCCACAAGCGGGTCGCCACGTCGATTTCCGTGCCATTTTCATGGCTCTAAAAAAATAATGCGCAGACAACGTGAGCAGAGAGGCCGGGCAAACTTTTGACGCGAGAGAAAGGCGCATCGGTATAGCTTCGACGAATTTTCTAGTCCAGATCAATTTTGTTAATGCGAATCAACATTAGTATCACTTTACGTTCACGATATCGAAGTTAAACCGATGTCGATATTTAAATGAAGCTTGAGTCAATGAATCTAGTATACTTTTAGGGGCATAAGAGCGCGTGACGCTATTCTTCTGATGACATATTCCTCTGGCGGTAATCTCAGAGCTGCGAGAAGCTCGTGGCGTGTTCGACCACCCGTGCCTTCCACCAGACTCGTAAGGGCGACTTTCGCGCTGGCGGGCGACAGTATCAGATTACCATCGACGTTCTCGTTTACTCTCTACAATCATTGTCACGAAACATTGTCACGAACATGAGGACCATTTTTACGTTCCAGCAAACACCAACAGTTACGTAACATCAATATTACAATTTCCTGCTCAACAATGTTACTGTTATGTAGGTACAGCGTGTGTTATATCACATGTAACTATTAGTTGATTTACTGGAGTGTACCTTAATTCGTGCATAAAAAGTTATCTCTTATTCTAGAAATTGAAAAATAATTCTGCAAAAATTACAAAAATTGAGGGTGAGGGCGTTATACTGCACATTTACCAAAAATGTTAACTCGACGAGAAAGATTTGAGCCAAGAAGTTTACTTGAAATTGAAAACATTCGACAATGCCCAAAATTTAACCGACTTTCTTTCGTCTCAGTTTTATTTCCATTCATTTAGAATTAATGCAAAATATTTTATTATATATTTGTACTTTTGTGAAACTCTTTCTCACCTGCAGAAGGTCAATGTTGAAAAAGGCGTATCGGTCCTCGGTGCTGATCGCAGCTGGAATAGCTGTAAGTAGGAGTATCTTACATTAATGCGCAATTTATTGGAAGAATCAAATTGTCATGCATTTATAGCATATTGCAGACGCACGATTCTTTATCGTCGCGTCTCTATAACAATGGCATTTCTAGTTTAAGCGCAATGTATTATTGATTATCTAATCGGGGACGAATATATCGTAATCGATCGCGCGCCGATCGGTCGCGTGTAAATTCTGAACGTGGAGAACAGCTGTAAAAAATGTAGACGTATAATCGTCGTAAAGATTATCATGTGACGTTGGCGTATCGAGAAGAATTTTCCTCGTCTGTCAAGCCGAGCCATTCGACAGGATTCTTATTTACATCCAGATATAACGGCGAAGATAAAGGACGATAACATCGGGAACTAATGGTCCGAGACGTCGAGTGACTTTAACGAGTGTGTCACTTCACCTTGCGTGCGGTGACGTAATCGCAGAAAATGCGGGCCTGATAATGGGCGATTTTTGTTTACGATGGAGCAGACGGAGTCTCGGATCATTGAGATCCATTTGTTACACGAGACACCGTCGGAAAGGCAAGAACAAGAAACGCGAGGAGGACTCGACGATAAATAAGTGATTCGGAGAATCGTATTTTTCGACAATCCACGACGAATCAAAGACAATTACATAAATCCGACTGAAGCCTCAGGCAACGTGATCGCTCAAGAAACGTTCAAGATTATTTTTCCTCAAAGACTCCTAAATAACGTTTAAAACCCGTCTTTTTCTTTTTTCTGCGAACGATACCTGCTAGGAGACACCAGGAGATCCACAGCGGCAGTGAGGACATTCTCTCAATTTGGAATCCGACGTAGATGTGTGACTGGCACGCTCGTGAATGCGTATATCGCGTGCCTCTCGGCGAGGCAGATGAACATGAATATAACGGAAACACGGATTGTCGGCAAGTGTAAAGGCTGAACTTCCGGCAAGGAGCCATCCCCACTTTATGACTAGATCCTCTCATTAGCTTCTCATCGTGATCTAAACACTACTACGCTCCGACGCGCCGACAAATCACCATTCGCTCGTGTACGAAGGATGTACACGAGATAAATTCGCGTAACGGCGCGATACGCGAGGCGACACGTTCGGAATGAAATACATAACGAGTTTGAGAATGAAGCAAAAATTGTAGGACGTACTATGTATTTTCCCAATTGAATTTTTATTTCGTCACTCTGACGCAAAAGAGATTGATATCGAAGTAAAATTGATATCCGCAGAAACTGCCTCAAATGAGAGGAGCCGATGTTGCTGGGAGCGAGGATTGAATGCGAAAGAAAATAATTAAAGAGAATATAAATGAGGAAGATGTCAAATTGAGAAAATGAAATAATAATTGATCCTTCGTAGTCCTATAAATATCATAATATAGTATCTTTTGTAATGATTTTAAAGATGCTTGCCAGTATTGGTATTATTAAATTGAGCATCAATTTAATTATGTATTCGTACTATTTCAGATTTAGTTTGGGACTGCGCTTTAAGATCGTCAGTAACGGCGCGTAATTTGCTTAGCTAAAAAATATACATAGATTTCTCACTGGGTATTAGGCACAATTTCCAGCCCGACTGTACAAGGCTTACTTTTGTCTATTTGTCTCATACACATACCGGTCAAGTTTACTTACGCCTTATATTGTTTAATAATTGATTGCCTACTACGTCACGTCGTCGTGATTATCCGAATGAATGAAACGCGATGCGTTTTACCTTGGAATTACGTAAACAAAATATATTGGCATGGGTAGACTGTTTATGCCTATATTATATTAGGTGCCTTTGAGTAAAGTCTTCGATTGAAAACTTCGATGATATTGAGAAAAAAGTTGAGCGCATATAAGTAACATACATTAATGAAATATTTTAATATATAAAATAGAGCTCTCTCTCTCTCTCTCTCTCTCTCTCTCTCTCTCTCTCTCTTTCAATAAAAGACAAACAATCAAAATATAAACGGCTAATAGCGAAAAGAAACTTGTAAAAGTAGTTTCGCCTTGGGATTTCCGTCCACTATTTCCGTCCATGAGCGTCATTGGAATGCCCCACCAGAGCTCATTTACAACAACTTTTGCGGTCAAGTCGCGATAAAGGTGCAACCCTTGGCCAAAATAAAAGCAAACGATTCACGAAGTCACAATAATTGATGATATGGATATAGAGCGAATGAACTGCGATTGGCAATGACGTCAGTAGTTGTGAAAATTTCCTAGTGCTATATACAATCATGCACGTTGATAATTCTGCCATTTACGCATGATAAGCAACGGGGGAAAACCCGAGGAAATATACTCGAGGAGTCCTTGAAAAATTAGTAATTAGTTTTAGAGGAGAGTCCCCCTACTGATGTAGGCTCCTAATATGAGATAGCAGGTTTTTTTCAACATCCAATTTTACAAATCCTTTTTCTCAAAACGATTACACGCATAATCTAGCAATGAATTTTCTACTAAGCACACCTCACTCCAAGGTATAATAAGTTTATGGAACCAACAGAGAATGCCTACTTGAGTTCAGCAGAAATGTCGCTAGTTCATAATAAATGAAATAAAATTAATGTAGAAATAATATAATATTTTATTTAGTGTTGATCGTAAACAAACAAAAGAGATATCCTTCGTTTGTGCACATATCAATCAATATTAAAAACTTGTAAGATTACCTGAAGAGTATTGGAGCTCAGGATTAAGTACGCGCATATAAGGTATCTTACATCTAGCAGATCCATTTAACATAAATAAATTTGTTCATTTCTTTGGTACATTGATACTCGATAAAACGCTATCCATCGAATATCGAACTTAGATTTGTAAATTTATGCAAGCGCAACATTTGCACCGGATATAATAAATTTTACTTATACAATATAATATATAATTATAATATGCATCCTGTTACACTTTGTAAAAAGAGCATTTAATACTACAATATTGAACGTATTGTATAAATCAAAGCGACAGGACAGTTAAACTGTAAAACCACTTGCGTCAGGCTTTTACGAACCACAATTACTAAATGCAATTATCTATTACAACGTAATAGAGCATCATGCAATGTGTTAATATAATAGTATGTTAATTATTCTATCCAGCATTTCCTTCTCCGAAATGTAAACTACATTCTACGTGTAGGGTATTTTATCTCAGAATTTTGTCGAACCCTGATTGAGAAGTATTATCTTTATCAAGAACCATTTGTAAGAAAGGATTTGAACGGACCGGATGTCTACTCTTAAGACACACAAGGCAATTATTGTACATCACTTTGAGAGAAAGACATAAAACGTAATGCATTAGCCTAAGAATGCAAGACAGCGATTCTGCTCAGGTCCAAAGTATAGTTTATATAGTGAAAATCCCTCTGATTAGAAAAAAAAACAATCCCGCGTTATCTTTTTCCCTTTTATGTTTTAAGATATACAATATAATCGAATTGGAGGAAAAATACTTTGCATAACTTAACAATTTCTGTTACTGTTAGAACAGGAAACTCAACATGGCATTTCTTAACATTAACTTAATACAGTTAAAAGATCAATGTAAAATTTGCTTAATATGATGAAACTTTAAACCCAGAATAGAAAATGGCATTCTATCCATTACCACTATAGCAAGCACCATCTCCTTAGTTATTAGATGACTTTACGATAGTTTACCAGGATTGGAAGTTACGGTCGTCGTGTCCGGATTAATTCGCGTGGGAAACTCCACGTGTACTTTCCCTGTATTCCCAGACATATTCAAAGGATCCTGAATTTTGCCTACGTAAAGAATAGTGCCGGTGGTCTCATCCTCGATGTAAAACACAAACGGATGATTGGCATGGAATGTGCCCTCTTCTATTTTATTTCCGATTTGTATTTCTGTACAAGGAAAAAATATATAAGCACAATAGTCATAAGGGGTAATTGAATAATTCAAGTTAAATAATTTGAGAAAATTATTCAAACAGTACGAAGCCGCGAAGTACATCACTTATTGCAATTTTAGTTAATTATTTAAATATATTTATTAAAGAGCATATATGTACCTGTTGCAGCGTAAGCAGTCGTCCCGTTTTCATTTACTTCTATTCCGGTCTTATGCACTACGTCGGATACCTGCAAGTGTCTGGAATCCCGTTTCGTTTTTGCTATACCCGTCAGCAGCGCGGTATCATCAAAGATGTCGCGAATGCCAAGCTATTATAAAAAAATAAGCACATGTTACCATGCATATTATGTACAATGTTATTTCGCATTGTAAAATGTGCGATCGTTTAATTAAAGCAAAAAAAAACACATTTTATACGTAGCGAAGATCATAATTCTAACTTCATCAATTTCTAGTTTCGCTACACTTGTCGCGTTCTTAACAAATATGACCCAATCGTGTTTGCTGAGGACATACTATTTGTCATAGTAAATATTTTATATGCAAATATCTCTTTTGCATATTCGAACGTGTGTAAAAATAGAGTAAGTTACCTCGCGCAAAGTATTCTCCAGATGACTCGTGAACTCGAACTTGAACTTCGGGATCCAAATGTCAAGAGGCAATTCCTGCATGGCCCACACATCTCTCGCCAATGTAAACGGATTAATCTCGTTGATAATGTGATCCACGCCTGTCAGCGTGTGCGGCAGTATAATATACATAGCGAATTTTGAGCCCTGAAAATTTTGGCATTTCGTAACGTTTGCATAATTATCAAGGATCACGTTTACATAATTAGCAACGATTCACTCGGGCTCTAATCAAGCTGTTACGTACGTCGTATGGAATCCGCAGGATCTTTGCATCGAGCTTGGGCGATTCGGCGAAATAAAATCGACCCACGGTATGCATGTACGGCACATTTACGCTCTCGTTAGCATTTATGTGAAATTTGGAAACTCGAGTGTTCTCGGGCGCAAAGTACTTGCGGCGCCAAGCACTCTTGAAGAACAGCCCATTCACAATCAGCATCACCGAGTCCTCTAAACCCTTTTCTGGAACATAAAATTAACGATAAGTGGATGTTATCTTAAGTCTCAACATTTAAAACTTACGATGAAGTCTGTCGTTTTCATTAAGATTAAGGGGCACAAAATTATTTTACAGACATACCAGATATTGTATTTACATGTCTGTATTATTATATACTTGCATCTCATAAAATATATTATCGAGTTTGGAATATAAAACACGCAGCAATAAATGAAGATAGTTTCGGGCAAGACTTACCGTCGTCTATCATCTTTTCAATGTGTCCATTCGTAATATTATTGACCCAAGAATTAACTTTGGTCGCGGTTGCGTGCGCGTCGGACAAATTAGCATTAATCACGTCGGTATTGTAAAAGGTTTTCACCGTTGCTGCATAGCGTTGTCTGGTCAGTACTTTCTCATCGATATAAATGCGCGAGCCGAAATTTAAAGTGTACGCAGAAGATGGAGCCTGTAAATAAATATCGCATTATGACTTTAGAAGTGAAACACGTAAAAGTATACAACAATCTTAGTAAAAATAGTAATTTCCATGCATTTATAAATTGGTACGTGATTTACGTTTTCATTAAGATTTACCTGTAAAGATCTCAGAATGTTATTAAACTTCTCGCGAGTGGCCAATGGGCTAACTGGAAGTTGCATAACTCCGGCTAGCTCGTGTGCAGTTTGATCCTGAGCTCCCTCATAAAGAAGCACTAATGCCAATTTTATGGATATCGGCGACAGTAGTACGTTCCCTCCATTTGCTTTGCCCAGACTCTGAAGAAACGTTAAAAATAAAGTATTAATTAATAAATTTAATCAGATTAAATTATCATTTAAAAACAGCTTTAAAAGTCTCTAAGGAATCTAGCACATCTAAAAAGATCTCTTTTTTTACATGTCTTATACATATAATTTAATTAGATAATAATTAATTTTACTCTGTTGGATTTACATTAGGAATCATTACTGATAAATTTACGAAGAATAGCCTATGCATAATAGATATATGAACACAAGTACCCTGAATAACATCCAATCGAATACGGTGAAGCGTTCACCCTGGTAGGGCACAAAATCTTCGTCATCTTCAACATGAGGAGTGGTCGACGAAGGAACGTTGGTTTGTGCGGGATTTGGCGTCACGGCGCAGGCACCTTCTTTTATAAAACCCACCGCAATTGAGAGGCACAGTAAATATCCTGTAATTAAGATTTCTTCACTTGAAATTTACATCCTGTAGAGGATTTTACCATTAATCGTCGATCCTTTCGTCCATTATGCTCAATTTAAAGTCAATCTTTGTTTAAGGAAGTGATTGATTGAAGTGTTTTTTTACTACAAATCCTTGAAAATCAAGGAGTGTGGTGTACACGTATATAAATATATATGTATATGCATTATTCGATTAATTTTAAGCGAGTTACGTTTTAACAAAATTTTAACTTCAAATTTGACATATTTTACAAAGAGTGGAAAATTCAGTTTAATTTATTAAATTAAAAATGTATAAAAAGTAGCATTCTTGACACAAGTAAATTTTAATTAAAGAAACGGATTGGTCGATAGATTAGTTAAAATAATAACACCATAACAAAAATAATTGGCATTGGAATTGTGCAAAGTAAATAATTAATTTTAAATTTTACACTGGGCCTATTCATATTAAATTATTTTATTATACAGCAACGTCCTTTCTTTGCATCAACCAATCTCTTGCTAATGTTCGAAGAAATAATATATTTGTTTCCGAGAATTTTCTACGATTATATGTGTCTAATAATAACTTTCCAGTTTGAAACTTGCACTGTTCATATAAATCATGTATTGTGTACATTCACAATCCCAGCACGCATTCCTAGATGTGATTCGATAATAGTGACCGCACAAATGCTTATCCGAACGGAAACCACATTTTTGTTGGCGGTCAGCAACCTCATTTGATACATAAAACCTTGAAGTACTTATAGTCTGTAAAGAAAGAAATCTGCAAGGATCTTAACACCTTTGACCTTCGATCTGATTGCATCTTTTACATTTATATCTATTGTCAGCTCTTCCACATTTTTCTGTAGAGCTTCCTTTAGGAGAATTAAATTCTTACACGTAGATTCAATAGCAAACTGGAACTGTTTCATGAACCATTTGAAAACTTTATACTTAAAAAAATTACAATGTAGAGATATGAAAATTTTTTAATCCGACAAATTTGAAGAGTATGATTGTTCCAATTAAATAAGACAGTAATTGCAGTGCTGATCGGGCAGATTAATAACAAGTTATGTCTCTACCATGGCAATTCTGTTGTCACTTAAAGATTTTAGAAAAAATTGAATAGAAAAGATAGATTTGTGAAAATTTACGAAGCAAAAAGAGATTACTTACCCAACTGTAGCCGCATGATCGGCGAGTCACTGCGCAGTGTGAGGACCTGTTGACCTCGGATGAAGCTTACGAATTAATGTGATTTTTCAGTCTTTGATGCTTGTGGTAGTCAGACCAACGCTTGCGATGCGACCAGTGCACGGCAAAGATCAAAACCGGTCAGCGTCTGACGATCCGGCGGATTATAGAGTCCATCCGCGAGAAAGAGTAGTGGTAACACACGGCGAGACGTGCGGGGAAATTGCCGACAGGAGGAGGAAACGGTACTGAACATGACTCAGGAGCGAACGATTCTACACGTGCTAAATCATTTATCACACATATCTGTACAAAAAACTTCTGCAGAATCGTGTAAAAAAATTAACAAAGGATCTCGTGTGGAAAATCTCCTATTCTATAATTACACATATGTTTAAGAATAAATTGCCAAAATGGAAATGTTTGAAAATATTCAAAAATATCAAATTAAATAATAGTACACACATATGTATAATAAATAAATAATAATAATAGATTAAAAAGCTATTATGAGAATGCAATCGCAACGAGGCTGAGGGCTACCGAGTTCAATTTCATTAAATTACTTTCAGGTAATCGCTAAGAAATATATATATATATAAAGTAATTACAAATAATTTACAAAGATACAAAATACATCATTTAATTACATACATATGTTTGCGTTAATATTCAACTTATTAAATTAAATATTTAATTGCTACCACAGTGCTTCCTAAAACAAATAAATATGCTTGCAAATTGGCACTAAATTCAATCAGAATTTTATAACAAAACTGATGTCCTTTATGGCTTCTCGCCAGGCTTATATTTTGCTTGCAAATTTGCTCTTCGTAAAACGAGGGCAAATTACAGTCAAAATGCAAAATTGACACATAGGTAAAAACCGAGCAAGAATATGCACACGGGATAATACAACAAATTGAGAGCAAATATTGAGCAAAACTTGCCGATACTTGATCATTCAATGTTTTTTTTTATATACCTTAAGTATTACCTCAAGTGTATCATAAATATGGTTACAGATATTTAAATAAGCACATCACAAATAATTCAGCTAAGTAATGGCATCTTGTTCATAATTGGTGCCAATTTGGTCTCACTTCATTCAGCAACAAGTCTATGTCTGCTGTCGTTGTATAAATATCAACTTAATTTGTGAATTCTGCATTAAATTTGTCGTTTTTCTGCAAAGAAAATTTATTACAGACGCCTGACAAAATATACTTTTTTCAGATTTAGCTAACTAGAATTGCTTTTTATCTCTTCTTTCAGAGGTAAAACATAAAGTAAGGAACGCGTAACATTGACTTATGTGTGACATTTATATTTCTAGCGACTTCACAATACTTAGAATTTGATATTATCTGACAAGATTATCTGATAGCATAATCGAGCATGACGGTGCGTTCAGGCGAAATTACCGCGTGGGGAACAACCACGCTCTTTAAAATAAATGATAATCAAATGATATCATACTTTGTAAACGTCAGTGAGTGCAGGATATGGGAACAAAAGAGGACATTAAAGATTTCGTGGAGACGTTATCGAGGACAATGTAAATGGCCATAAAGGTTTGATCATTTTTATTATTGAAACGCGTGTATATCGTTGTAGAACATCATTATCTAATACTAACAATTTATTCACAATACCTATAAAAAGCCAAACACAAAAAATCGTGTAACACTATAAGGTAAGGTGCAAAATAAGAGAGATACTAAATGCAAAAATGTAATCAAAAGAAATTCGACGAAAAAATACATAAAATTAAAGGTGTATAATATTAAAAAGTCGTTGCTCGATTCTTACTTTCATTCTATTGACTCTTATACTTTTCTAGCGCTGTGGAGATTATCGAGGTGACATCGTTCACGTGTTCCGGTGACGCGAATGTACGGGCGAATTCCGTTACCTGCGCAAACAATCAAATCTTTAAGTCCAAAGCTAACTATATGAATAAACATACCCAGCAAA